GTGTTTACCCGACTATTTAACCTAAAAATAGCTGCTGTGAAAAAGGTCCACAAACTCCCACTGAGAATAGTTTGTTTGGTTGGACATTGTTTGTTTTTCCCCTCCTGAAGAATCAATAGATCAATCATTGATCGGTCAGTTCACAGACTGCGTTCCTCTCCGGTGCCTCGGGTTCTTCCAGAGACGATCGCCGCCTCCGTTCAGCTGCTCGTGGTAGTTTGAGTCGTCGTGTATCCAAACTGAACGTGTTGCTTTCTCCGGAGCAGCAGGTTTTTAAAAAAACAACAAAAAAAGAAGTGAAGTCCGTCTGTCGGTGAATCTCATCAAACTCCGTCTTTCAGTTCTCTTTGGACCAAAGTGTTTATGAATGTGAATTACCTGGTTTTATTTTATTGACAGTATTCTTGCACTACGCACATTGTAAGCTTCCCATCTCAGAACTTTCCATCACCTATATTTACCAGTTTTATACCATTTTAATACATTTTGCCGTCTCAGTGTCTTTTGGAGTTTAAATATGTGTTAATTTATATTTGTAAATATGTTTTTTTTCCATGTGATATCTAATAATATCTATCTGGTGCTCATATCGGCTCCAGACACGTGTAGCCTGTGTGCCTCTCTGCCATTCTCAAGGTATTTGAAATAAACCAGAAGTACCGACCCCGTCTCTGTTTAATGCCCCCCACCCACCCCCACTGACTAACATGATCAAACATTAATGATTGATTGATTGATTGATTGATTGATTGATTGATTGATATCAACCTGAAGGATGAAGACTGCTGTTCCCGTCTCCACCAGCAGGCGTCCCCGTTGGACCGTTAATGTCCAGTCTGCCCCCCCTCCACCCAATGTATGATCAATATTCTATGATTCAGAATCAATAACAGCTGATAAACAATCACTGCAGGAAGTTTGATTATTGATCCATTCTCATTGTTCTGGTTGGGAACCAGTGAATTTAGAGTCATCTTGCTGATTGCGACGCCCTCGCCTCACCCTGTCACCCTAGCGTGTAGGAGTAACCATGGCGATGGTTCAACTGGAGGAGCCGAGACTCAGAACCACAGAACCACAGAACCCACTTTCATTCAGAGGTCAGAGGTCAATGGATCCTTTAGCCTCCGTATCGAGTCACAGTAAAAGAAATAGACCCACATTATTACCGATGTGGATGTTTCGCCATAAAAACAAGAAGTTGTCGTAACTTCAGTGTATTTTGTTTAATCTGCGTCAAACTTCACACGTTTGATAAGAGTCCCGCCCCAAACCCGTCTACATGCAAACATTCAGATATACTCACAGCGCCCCCTACTGGCAACAGGAAGTAAGTGTTCTGTGGCGACTGATCTGATTCCTCTAAGATAAACATTAAAACCTTTATTTCTGTCTGAAACATGAGTGAATGTACACAAACAGCAGCTGATCACACACACGCAGAGAGTGTGTGTGTGTGTGTGTGTGACAGAGGTTATCTTCCCTCTGAGCTGCAGATTCAGTGATTTATGGCGAGAGTCGTGCAGCGAGGTGGAATTTTCCCAAAATAAGTTTGAGTAAACAGGCAGCGACAGAGGGGCCCTCACAGCACACACTGGTATGTATAAACAGTGTGAACAGTGTGTGGCAGTGTAACACCCCCCCCCCCCACACACACACACACACACACACACACTGCAGTGATTTGTGCAGTGTTGCATTGATGAGTAAAATCACAGCCAGAGATAAACAGCTGTTACTCTGAGCTACTTTTTACTCGAGTATTTATTCCTCCTATATTCAGGGCGGGTCCAGATGTGAGGCGGGAAGCTGCCACACAGTCTGCTGTCTACTGAACACATTCGATTAAAATAACGTGTTAAAAAGCAGAAATGAATACATTTAATGAAACGTTATTTCAGAGTCCTAAAGAGACTTCAGTAAAACATTTAAAATACTTTATAAGACAAAATAAAAACCTTTAACAGGAAGAAAACACCCAAATGAACCAACGTGTCTCTGGGAATGATTTAAAGAACCCTTGTGCAGGTTGCAACTGAATACCCCTCGCACGCCACTGCATTTAGAGAAGAGAGCGATGACTCAATGAGCAGCGGCTGCTCTATGCAGACTCCACCAGCAGAGGATGTGACACACTTTAAGTATCTGTCAGCGCCTCAGGATTGTTTTTAGATTGTTGTAAAATACCTGATTACAAAGAAGATTAAAATCAAGATAAAAATCAATTATAAAATTTTGAAATTAAACGGCAGGAAAAATGGAAAATTGTAAAATAAAAAATAGAAAAAGTGTCAATTTTTTGGTTTAATTAATTAAAAATAGAGAATAAAATAGTTTTATGTCAAACTCTTTCAACAAACTAATAATAATTAATGATAACTTATTTTTCTTCTTTGGAAAACTCTTTTAAGTTTAGGAAGCAAAAAATAATCTATTTCAAAAACATTGTTAAAACTAATAATAATATTTATTCTCACTGAGAACAAAGTTTGAAAGGCAG